TCACCACACTTCCCTCCGCTTCATGAAATATGAGATTATATCTCTATTAATGAGGCGGAGGTGGTGTAGTGACAAGTGGCGCGCTTACCACCCACGCGGTCCTGGGTTCGAATCCCGGGTCGACTCCCGCCCAGGCCAACCAAGCCTTCTACCCTCCGGGGACGGTGAATTGGTACCAGATTCGTCTGGGAGGATAAAACACTGACTTGTACATCGGCTGGCCACCGCAAGTCATTGTATAGGCCACATCGCATTCAATAAGCCACTACGATTCTGAATGGAAGTAGAATGCGTGCCGCATCCCACAAAGGGATTGATCAACGGCGAAGACTTTATCCTTATCCTTTTATCTTTATTAAATTGAGCGCTACGTTTATCTGTTTGTCTCTTTGTTTGTCCCGAAATTCGGCATGACCCTGAAGAATTGCTCGTGATTCGTAGAGATTTGAAAAGCGGAAAGAAGAAAAGTCGCTTTTCTCATGCTCTCGAAAAGTTTTATAAAAGCAGAACATTAATAGGCTGTTTTCCCCTGAATGTCAATTGGAATTTTCCAATGCTTGGTTTTATTAGACACATTCTATGCCCTCTACTGGTATCGGCTCCTTTGTCAAGTTTCAATGGTATGTGGATGGCTTCGATAAAAAATGCAAAAATAATTTTTTTACAAGAGATAGGATTCGGAAATCATCATGAAACCTTTGACGTAGCCGTTCTGCATTTTGTTGGAGAGCAGACCTCTTTTCTTTGCACTTTTGGACGGAAATCTTGCCTCCTCGAGAAAAGCTCGAAGGGCTCAAATTATTTTGCTGAGGGTGTCTCAATAAGTACCAATTACTAGCACTTGCGGCAGGACTGGTGTAGAACACTGATTATGAGCGGTAGTTTATTAGCAGTAGTTTATAGTTTTGACAGAGGTGATGCAGATATCGGTAGCGGTGCTATCTTCACACTGTGGTCAAAGATTAAACCCCATCGGATGCCAAAGATCAACCAACACTTCCAGTATTCAGTAGACAGACTCCAGTAGACAGACCCTGCCCTCGTATAATACGATTCCTAGGATTCCTTCCTCGCCCAAGTGGTCCAGAGCGTGATCGGGAAAACTGTCCCACTTTCGCAGCTCCACAGGGGGTGACAAGCAGGGCACGCCATCGCGTTGTGATCATTTCCTGAAAAATACGACCCCCTAATTCTATCCTCAAATACGACCCCCCCCCTCCATGCTACCTACCACTTTCCTAGATTTTCCCAACTTCCTACAACCATTTTTTCCCGAAAATTTCCAGTTTTTCCAGCCAAGAATTTCCGTAGAGCGGGAGGGGAGGGGGATCATATACCCAATGTGAAACAGGAAAACTTCTCAGATGTCCTCCAAACTCCTACCAGTTTTTCGGAAATTTCTCGAAAAATTTCTGGTTTTTCCCCAAAATTTGCTGTCGGGGGGGGGAGGTCGTCAGGATTTAGCTATCATTTTCAACCAACGGAAATAGTAGTTGTATAGATTTTTGGCAGTCCTTCTCCAGCAGCCAAATACACCCCCCCCCCACTTATACTGTCCGTGAAACAAGAGAAATCAACTACCAAAAAGAATTTTTCTTAGACCAAATACGACCCCCCCGTTGTGATCATCACAACGATGGCGTGCCCTGGTGACAAGGGCCCTGCGACCACCATGAGTTGCAGTCATATACGCTATATCGTACGATATACGGCAAGGAAGGAATACTACAAAATGATTGAGCGCGGGGTCCGTCTTCAAATGGAACTATACCTCCCTGTAAAGAGATCACCTGGCCCCCGCCGGTCACTGTATGGGCCAATCGCATTCTCTTAAGCGCTATGCTTATCAAACGGACCGTGTTTGCATAAATTCGAAACGATAACTACTGGTACGAACCCCCTCCATCTAAAAGAGGGTCTCGGTACGATCCCCCTTCCCCAACACCTACCTACCAATTCCCACTCCACATTTTCCAGTTTTTCCACCCAGAGGTTTTCCGTCGAGCGGGGAGGGGAGAGTACACAGTACAAATGATACAGAAAAATCACGCGAAAAGTCAACAACCGCTGAAATTTTCTTTCCAACGCCGCAACTGCCGTGGCGAGCTAACAAGAGATTTGTCAAATTTTGTGAAGTCATGAAATGATACCAGTCAAAGTTCGTAGGAACCGCTTGTCAACTCTTGTTAAGGAAATGCGTCAATGGGATGTAGCGAAAGTGTAAAATGTCCCCCCTCCAACGCCTCTCCCACCTCTTCCCCCGCACCACCTCCAAGCAGAACTGCACCTGACGTGGCAATAAGAGAAGTTGGTCGATAAAAACGACGAATGGAACACACGCATTTGCTCCACAGGTGATTGTGAAGCCTAAGTGGGTGTTCGAAGGTTTGAGCGCTCTCAATGAACCATGAATGAACGGCATCCTAGAGCTCGGTCAACGAGAATCAATTGGAAAATGACTTATTATTGTGAAGAAGAGGCAAATACAGAATGGC